AGTAGGGGTTGGCTATTCTTCAAATGATTTAATAAATGTGTCGTGTTGCCTTTGTTGTCGCCACAACTCTGAGGCACTTTTTGCACAACACTTGCATTTGGTTGACATCGGTTTGCCTGTAGCCGAAATACTGCCATACCACTGAAGATGCGCCCTTCTTTGGCACCAAATCGACATTCTCGTTAGCACTAGCAGCACTCATGTTTCCGACACACATGCTGAGATAAAGTCACAGAGTTTCTAAACCTCATACTGTACCGTCTTTGGTAAAGCCCTTTCTCTCCTCACCAGCATCTAACTGTGTGCTCTAAGCGGGGACACTTGTGATTGGCCAATATGCATGCCATGCAGAGAGTGAGAAAGCCTGCTTGTGATTGGTCAGCATCCTCTGTGCATGTAAAGAGTGAATGAGTCTAGCGCATCTCATTGGAGGAGGTATCGTAGTCTAGTTGGTGTAATAATGGCGTGTCAAAGAAAGGAGAAAAATCACATCCTCTTGCAATATGGATATTGAACATGTCAATTTCACAATTGTGATCTGAATTCCATTAATCGTGCAGCCCTACTATTTATTCAAAGTATTGCTTTCTTCCATTGTCAAGGACAGTCAAACCAATCAAAGCATCCAGTCTAAATGGCGCTTGCATGACAGAGCAGAAGTTGTGGGTTCAGTTAAAACATGCTACTAAGCAAATCCCTACAGAAAACTGTGCAGAAGAGGCACGTCAATGGCCAATGTAACCTACTCAATAAAAGCAATTAAAGACTCCCTGTGCCAAATAATCACCTGTCACAGAGCTCACCCATGACAATAGACACTACTATATTGGGTGGCTAAAGGCCAGGTGAACTCCCAAGCCTTAGGTCAACACAGTCTTGCCTGGTGATCGGTTAAACGTATACCCTGCTTTAGACAAAACAACAAAACCTCTATCAATATTAAACTCTATTTTCAGTTAGGCCTAGTCAATGAAAACGTGGATAGATAGAGAACATAGTGATTCCTATCAAAGCCTCACCTACTGAAACCTGTGTTTGGGGTGTAGGCTATTGGGAGTGTATGTGTGTGAATGATAAAGGCCTGTATCAGATGGTAATGACCAGTGCTTGACTTGGACTGAAATAACTAAGTACGTTTTTCAACCATGTGCCCTAATGAACACGACCCAGGGTCCACTGGGGGTAGAGGGTTTACATTTAAGTGCAAGAGCTCCACCATACTTTTGAGCTAATATTCTATAAGAGGAATAGGAGCTCAAGCAGTAGAACATTTGAGGTGCTGGTACTCAGCTCCGGTGAGCTCCTGCCCAAGTCAAACACTGGTAATGACACTGATGTTCATCAGTCAATATGTCCCAAAACAATGACCCCAGCCTTACAGTGCATTCGGAAAGTATTCAGACCCCTTGACTTTTTCCACATTTTGTTACGTTACAGCCTTATTCTAAAATTGATTAAATTGTATTTTTCCCTAAACAATCTACACAGTACCCCATAATGACAAAGCAAAAACAGGTTTTTAGAATTTTTTGCAAATGTATTAAAAATAAAAAAACAGAAATATCACATTTACATACTCAGTACTTTGTTGAAACACCTTTGGCATTGAGTCTTCTTGGGTATGATGCTACAAGCTTGGCACGCCTGTATTTGGGGAGTTTCTCCCATTCTTCGCTGCAGATGTTCTCAAGCTCTGTCAGGTTGGATGGGGAGCATTGCTGCACAGCTTTTTTCAGGTCTCTCCAGAGATGTTTGATCGGGTTCAAGTCCGGGCTCTGGCTGGGCCACTCAAGGACATTCAGAGACTTGTCCCGAAGCCACTCCTGCATTGTCTTGGCTGTGTGCTTAGGGTCGTTGTCCTGTTGGAAGGTGAACCTTCGCCCCAGTCTGAGGTCATGACTCCAATCAAGTTGTAGAAACATCTCAAGGACGGAAACCGGATGCATCCGAGTTCAATTTCGAGTCTCATAGCAAAGTCTCTGAATACTTATGTAAATAAGGTATTTGTTTTTTATTTGTAATAAATGTGCAACAATTTCTAAAAACCTGTTTTCGCTTTGTCATTATGGGGTATTGTGTGTAGATTGATGGGGAAAACATTTATTTAATCCATTTTAGAATAAGGCTGTAATGTAACAAAATATGGAAAAAGTCAAGGGGTCTGAATACTTTCCGAATGCACTGTATTTCTTTGATTAGGCTAGTTTGGTTCATCAGACATAACAACTTTAAATGGTGTTCCAGGAAAACTTCAGATGTTATGGTTGTCAACACACATTGACATTACGTGAATCACTTCATCAGAACAAGTGTTACTTTTGTCAAATTATCAAAGCAAGGAGTGAACTGTTTAAGGCAAATAGCGTTAAGAACTGATACTACTACAACGCACAACTGCACTGGATAAAACTAACTGTTGTTGTAAATGGACTGGCCAGGTGTATGGTCAGTGCTGAGTGTACTACTCTTCAAATCTACCAAGTCAGATTAAATAGCCCATCTACATTGCATTGACATACTAACGTTAGTTCAATGCGTCTCAAATCTATAACAAGCAACAAAATACCCCCTTCGTGTGGCTCTTCCCTCAGCTGTTGGGCTATGTTGTATGTTAGTTAGCATTGGCAAGCTAACTAGCTAGTTATGTAAATAGCTGCCTTTCTTGCTGGCCCTGGCTTGTTGAGCCTGTTGTAGCCTGATATAGCCGGGCTAGCCAACTAGCTGAAATGGCTTACTAGTTAGCTAGCTCGTTGTTACGCTATTCCTCTTGCTAACTAACTTGCTAGCATAATGGCATTGGCCTGAAACTAATTGGAAATAACTGGTGGTAACAGTTCATTCAGTGACATGGTAAACAAGAGATATTTAAAGTAATCTTACCTGTTGTGTCAGAATACGGAAGCGGAGCACCTTCGGCCAGAAATAATGCCGACAGAAGAATTCCAGTCGCCAGCAACAACACAAATCCATGACGGTTCCCCATCCTTTTTAGCTTAGCTAGCTAACTAGCTAATGAGAATCGTCGTCCAAAATTACAACTAAATACTAATAAACCAAACACAAATTTTAATTCATTGATAATAAGTTAAATATATAGCTATATCTACAGGCTAAATAAAAATGCTCTCAGGTCTAGCTAGCGTCGATAGCAACGACAAGCTAACGTGAGCTATCAATGCCTCAAACAATGCCGTTTCATTATCCATGAAAAATAGAAAAGGTCTATTACCTTTCTTGAACAATCATGTTTAGATAAATACGCTTCAACGGCAATGCTCTACATTTATTCAAACGTAATATTTTATCAATAGTCCAAACTGTCAGGCACCACCTCTTCTCCGAGGCGCCATGTTCCTACAACGTCATAGCATGGGGGCATGTATATTGACACGATAGATTTACATATACAATAGCGAATCACAACCCATTAATCTGTATTAACGAACAGATACGACCAATCACTATCCTTCTTCGTATTCCCTATCCACATCCATTGCTTTGTGTCAAACGTAAAGCTAGATGTGTTTTTAGACCTGTAATTTGACATTTGAGGTATGCAAGCAATGTTCCAGTGCTTTGTGAAAGATGAACTACTCAACCTGTCTGATTTAATGGACTTGTAGGCTATACGTCCAGTGTTCCCCCTAGAATTGTTATTTCTTAGGGGTGGGGGTTCAAAGGTCTTGGAAAGGTATGCCTATCAAATCAAATGTTATTGCTCACATGCGCCGAATACAACAGGTGTGGACTTTACAGTGAAATGCTTACTTACGAGCCTGTACCTAACAATGCAGATTTTAAAAGTAAGAAAAATATATGCTAAATAAAAAAGTAGATAGTAACACAATAAAAACAATAACGAGGCTATATACAAGGAATACCAGTACTGAGTCAATGTGCAGGGGTACGAGGTAATTTAGGTAATTTAGGTAATACAGTATGTAGTGATAAAAGTGACAAGGCAATCAGGATATATAATAAACAGCGTAACAGCAGTGTATGTGAAGAGTGTGAAAGTGTGTCCTATGTGTGAGTGTATGTCATCATTATGCGTGTGTGTGTTTTTTTGTGTGTGAGTTTATGTAGTATGTGTGTTGGAGTGTCAGTGTAGTATGTGTGAGTGCATGGGTAGAGTCAAGTGAGTGTGCATAGAGCCAGTGCAATTTTTTTAAAACGATAAATCAATAAATCATAAAGGGGGTCAATGTAAATAGTCCCAATACCAACAATTTTAACTGAAACCAATTCACATGAGATAAGATGGCACATAGGCCACGATATAGCTAAGTAGACCTATAGGCCTCCATTATGTTTTCACATCAATTTGTTTTGCATCTATGTCAAATATGGCAGGGGGAGCCAGGTAAGGAGTTGGACACATCCTTCTTACCCAAGCAAAGGGATAACATTGATTACTTTTGACTGTACCTTAGAAACTCTGCTTATATAGCCTATAGTAAGAGGGTGTGGTGTGAGTTTTAAATCAGTTATTAATGACACATGCTGTGTTGACAGTATTCAGTGTACAGGTTGGTTTATGGACTGTACACATTAAGTACGTATTTGAAGAGCCTAATAGTATTGCTGTGTTTTCATTCCATGTCATGTCTGTTACTTTACGCTCTCTCAGATGTACCATTTGTGGTAATTTATAATCCACACAAAATGCATAACATAGAGTAGATGTTGACTCTGCAGAGGACTGTACTCTGCAGTCACCCAGGTTCTGTCCATTCACATCTGTAGAAAATTTGAAATTCTGACTGGGACTTTTATCTCCCCAAAGAGCCGAATATATCCTGCCATCTTTGCTCATCATTGTGCATCATTGTCAACCCTTAATATTTCTACATGGAAAACCCCCATTATGCAATAATGGAATATGGGATAGTTTGGCATTGTTTATTCCTATCAAGCCAATTAACAGGCTGGGTTGTAAGCTCTACCCCCTGCAAGTTAGCTGACAATAGTTGTGACAAATGTTCTGCTCTGATTAACTAATGAGGGGGGAGGGGGAGTTCCGTTGCGATGTTATCTCCCAGGGTTTGAGGACAGAGAGACATCATGTTTTCTCTCTGGAACACAAAGCTGTAGGAGGAGAGTGGTGTTGGGTAATAGGCAAAAATCAAGAGAGGCAGAGAGCTGCACATCACTGGCTCACAGAGCGGACACCACCTCACCCAGATAACGGTTAGTACCAGCCAGGCTTTAGAGATATACCATGCATTGATAGTTTTTTATGCAGTTCTGTAGAGATTGATGTATCTTTCTGTGTATTAATTTGTGTTTTTGTGCATCTCAGGGTTTTTGACAAAGTATTAAGGTGATCAAATGTAGTTTGGTATAATGCAACAAAAAATAGGACATGTGAAGAAGCAGACCTCTCAAGGTCTCGCTTGGAGACAAAAAATTGTCCTTAAAGTTGCATTGTCAAGACTTTGGACAAATTTGTAAATGTTTAGCAAAATGTATTTATTGTTTTATTCATAGAGCCACAGCTTGAAAAGTCAAGCAATTGTCATTGAATAAATTCCATAGAAACAGTAGCTAGATAGTACCTTGAAGCTAAAGGTGAATAGGCTGATGAGGGATTTGTCTGATGCTTTTAAAAAACACACCCTGACTGTTTGTGCCAGCAAAACACACTGTGCCACTTTCATTTATTGTGATGTGTTTCCCTCTTGAGAGCACGTATCCCTCAGGCACAGAGAACCATGGCGTTTACAGGGTTGCTGCAAGAGGAGGACATCAGGGCTGCCGTCAAGGCTTGTCAAGGTGAGTCAAACACACACACACACACACACACACACACAAACACATGTGAACACACATATGTGAACACACACATATGAACACACAATTGCGCGCACACACACGCCCAATAGGCTACTCTCCCAAGGGTGGTCCTATATTGGGGGAAGGTTGGAGGGTGGATCCAGGTAACCAGGCAGCCAGGGGGCTGGGGAGAAGCAGAGCAGTTACCACCCAGATACCAGAGTGTTTATGCTGAGCATTGAAGAGAAGACTAAATCATGGCAGTCATGCAGGCTTCATTCGCAGCCCACCAGCATTTAATTATTTAGCTACACATTACATCTGCTTCAGATGGCAGACAAAAGCACACCTTCCAGAATACACCCACATGTAAATGCTTGTATACTCACTTTTCAGTATATCATCAGCAGAACTGTTTGTGGTATATAATATATTATTCAAAACAGACTTGATTCATCATTCTCTTTCTCTGTTCTTTATAAGTCATTTGGTTTTCATAATGACCTAACTGACTCTCTGTAATTGCATAAACTGTGAATAAAAATGTATTGATTTAAACATTTGATCTGTAGCATATAGTCACACGCTCACATTACAATGGGTTCCCTGAGGTGTTCTGTGAATCTGTGTGTTTAGATTGTATAATGTCCTTAACTAGCGTATTATTGTCAGGGTTCAGTGGCATTAAAATGCTAGAGGGTCTGTGTTTGTGATTGTGAATGTCAGCAGTAGTCAAATGAAAGTAATCTCTCTATTCATCCCCCTCTCCATTCTCTCTCCTTGTCATGCTGTCGGATCTCTCTTTCCTCACACTCTCTCACTTCCTCTCGACATCTCTCCGCATTTCTCTTGATCGCTTCCCCCATCTCTCCATTAGCTCCAGGCACATTCAACTTCAAGTTGTTCTTTGCACAAGTGAGACTGACCGGCAAGCCAGAGGCAGAGGGCCAACGGGTGTTCAGAGTCCTGGACCAAGACCAGAGTGGATACATAGAGGAGGAGGAGCTGAAGTATGATATGAGTTGGGGAGGGTGGCTGTGTGTGGAGGGAGGGAGGGAGGGAGGGAGGTGCACGTGAAGGGGTTGCCCCATAGTATGTACACTAATGGTCCCAGAAATGTTCCATACGCACAAAAAGCTTATTTAGATCAAATTTGTGCACAAATATGTTTACATCCCTGTTAGTGAGCATTTCTTCGTTGCCAAGATAATCCATCCATCTGACAGGTGTGGCATATCAAGAAGCTGATTAAACAGCAGTATCATTAGACAGGTGCACCTCGTGCTGGGGACAATAAAAGGCCACTCTAAAATGTGCAGTTTTGTCACACAACACAATACCACAGATGTCTCAAGTTTTGAGGGAGCGTGCAATTGGCATGCTGACTGCAGGAATGTCCACCAGAGCTGTTGCCAGAGAATGTAATGCCCCATGGTGGCGGTGAGGTTATGGTATGGGCAGGCATAAGCTATGGGCAACGAACACAATTGCATTTTATCGATGGCAATTTGAATGCACAGAGATACCGTGACGAGATCATGAGGCCCATTGTCATGCCATTCATCCGCCGCCATCACCTCATGTTTCAGCATGATAATGCATGGCCCCATGTCGCAAGGATCTGTACACAATTCCTGGAAGCTGAAAATGTCCCAGTTCTTCAATAGCCTACATACTCACCAGATATGTCACCCATTGAGCATGTTTGGGATGCTCTGGATCGACGTGTACGACAGCGTGTTCCAGTTCTTCCCAATATCCAGCAACTTCGCACAGCCATTGAAGAGGAGTGGGACAACATTCCACAGGCCACAATCAACAGCCTGATCACCTCTATGTGAAGGAGATGTGTCGTGCTGCATGAGGCAAATGGTGGTCATACCAGATTTTATTATATTTTTATTTAACCTTTATTTAACTAGCAAGAACTAATTCTTATTTACAATGAAGGCCTACACCGGCCAAACCCGGACGACGCTGGGCCAATTGTGCGCCGCCCTATGGGACTCCCAATCACGGCCGGTTGTGATACAGCCTGGAATCGAACCAGGGGGTTTGTAGTGACGCTTCAAGCACTGAGATGCAGTGCCTTAGACCGCTGTACCACTCGGGAGGGGTTTTCTGATCCACACCCCTACCTTTATTTTTAAGGTATCTTTGACCAACAGATGCATATCTGTATTCCCAGTCATGTGAAATCCATAGATTAAGGCTTAATGAATTAATTTCAGTTGACTGATTTCCTTATAATAACTGAAATTGTTGCATGTTGCGTTTATATTTTTGTTCAGTGTATTTGTGTGTGTGTGTGTGTGTGTTTGTCATGCACATAGAAAGAGCCTGATGTATTCAAGCTGAAACAAACTATACATTACATATCAATACAATAAAGCAGCATTGACACATGAGATGTACATGTAGTTCTTCACTCATCTCTCCTCTCTTTGTTTGTCTATGCCCAGACTATTCCTGCAGAATTTCTCCTCGGGGGCCAGGGACCTGACTGATGCTGAGACCAGAACTCTCCTGGCGGCAGGAGACAGAGACGGAGATGGCAAGATAGGGATGGAAGGTACAGGTTACAGTACACTCACATCAGCACTACACACACCTGACAGGAGAGCAAGAGAGGGACTGTCCAATGCTGACATCATCTAGGCCTAAATATCATCTTGATCATAGTTTCATCTTCATCAGTTTTATATCATTATATTTTATATTATTCCAGATGATAGGGGATATTGAATCTGAAGGAAGGAAGGAAGGAAGGAAGGAAGGGAGGAAGGGAGGAAGGGAGGAAGGGAAGGGAAGGAAGGAATGCTGCAAAGGCAAAGTGGAAGAAACAGTAAATAAATGCAAGCTTTTTCAACTTATGTAATATTCACTGTGACTTGGCTGTGAGGTCACACATCAGGTGATCACTATATCTCTTTCTCATTGCTCTGTTTCTCTCTTCTCTTGCAGAGTTCTGCGCTTTGCTGAAATGAAGCTTTCACTCCTCATAAGGGCTGTCTCTTTTTTTGCTTTCTCTTGGTACTTTTTACAACGTCTGGAATCCAAAACGCCCAACTTCAGCATGTCTGGAGGGAAATGCCCACCTCAGCGACTCTATGTATATGCCTGCTGCCACTCTCCCGGGTTGATGGTGCATCTTGGCACATAAGTTCGTAGCCGGACATCCAGATAAACGTGGATATTAGATGTATAAGTGAGTGTCTGTCTATCCATTGGGTAACTGGTATGGTTTAATAAAGGATCTAAAACGTAGATATGATGTCCGTTTGTCTTACTACAGTCCCACAGGTTATGTTGGCGTTTCAGTGCGTGTTTTGGGTCTAACGCTTTGAACACACCAACTGTCTCATTGCGCAAAATAGTATGCAGCATCATCTAGATATGTGTGCAACAAAAGTTCAACATTCACCTTCTGCTACCATTGCTGTCAACCCGTTAACGCGTACAGTTTGACGCATACGTTCGATAAATTCAACGTATGCACCACACAGAACGCACTGCAACTACCTCTGTAACGCAATGCTGCAAGGCAAACGCAGCGTTCCATTGGAAATGAACTTACTTCTGGTGTACCAAATCGCAAGACACAGTCGGTTTGTTCAAAGCGTAAGCTATTAGCCTGATTTCCCCAGTGCATTTTAGTTGTGTGCTCTGCATGGGCCTACAAGAGACAACGCAGCTCTAAATGTGATGATATAAGCAAAGTGCCCACGGCTTGTACAGGCTGCATTTCCGATGCAGTAACAGGCAAACGAGAGGCTGCGTGCCTACAGTTCAGCACGCAATGGACAAGACCCGGAGCCCGGAGGGTGCCAACTGCAGTACATCACAGAGTGACGGTAACCTCTTGAGTAGCTGACGACGAGAGCGATCATTCATCAAGACAGTGAGATGAATAGCCTATTGTAAGCATCAATTAAATCCATCTTAATTTACTTATACTGTACTGACAGCGACACGCCAGTCTGAAATGAGGCCAGACAGATTAAATATGGTTAGATGTGGGCAAAACAAAATATTTCTGAAAAATGTGCATGTCCATATCAGGGCTAACACCGCCTTCTTCTGGAGTGAATTCAAATTAATAATTTTCAGACCTAAAAATGACTATTTTGATAGATTGGTTAACATGTGTGGTGGGATTGCCTTTGCCCATGAAGAATCATGTGAATAAAATATAACATTTCATTATTTATTTTAAACAAAAAAGCCGAGAGCATTCATTTTGATATATGCATACAATTATGCGTAATGTTTGGGTAGGCTATATAGGCTACACTTATAGCCTACATAAAGTAATTTGGGTAGGCTATAGCCTATAGCAGTGTTCCCCAACTGGCGTCCCACGGGCCGAAATCTGTTCCAAAGTATTCCCACACATAATCGAGAGATAAATGTGATCGTATACAAATGTAAGCAAGGTTTTAAATTATTATGTTTTAGTCAAATATTATATATGTTTGGGCTTATTGCGGTCAATTTGCAGTCTACAAATTATTTGTAATTATGCTCAGGACCCCTGACCATCCATTCAAGAAAAAATCGGCCAGGCGGAAGAATCTATATAATTGATGATCCCTGACCTATAGGCTAAACATGCCTGAAACGTATGCGTAGATTAAAAGCGTAAGCCACTGCGTCGCTATAGGCCTATCCCTGACCCTGCAGCCACATCTCACTAGGCAAAAACTGGTTGAATCAACGTTGTGTCCACATAATTTCAACAAAATAAAATGCAATGTGATGATATTGAGTCACTTGGAAAACTGATTGGATTTGATAAAAGTCATCAAGGTAACGGAATTTCGTATTTTTTTCATTCTACTGTTAACCTAAATCCAATGACATGGTGACATTTGCTGTTGATTTCACGTTCAATTCACGTTAGTTGACAACTCAACCAAATATAAATAAAAACTAGACGTTTAACTGATGTCTGTGTCCTGTGGGATGGCTCTGCATGGCATCCCAGTTTCGTAAATAGTTGTATTGATCTAAGGCTTTTCATTCCCAGGCGGTAAAAGGTGACAGAGGACACTGACTTCGAATTCCATTCATACCCTCTCTATCCGTCTCCGTCTCCCAACCGACTGACTGGCCGACACTCTATATCCAACACCACACAGGTGACATGCTATTCCCATTAGTGCAGTGTCGCATTGAGAAAGGAAGGCGTTCTTTCTACCATTCCATCCAGGTGTAAACACAATGTCATGGTGAAGTTGTTTGAGAGCTAATAAACTGCTCCTGTTGTGCGAACATTGCGCAAAGCAGTGCAGCGCAAGCCCCCATATTGGAGTGGGCTATATAGCTGGTGTAGGAGCATAGCATTCAACCTATGTAGCCAGGCCTAGTTCACACACATGGACGTAAAGGTTGCCGCCGTTATTTAAACTCATTGTCTATAAAGAAGAATGACTGGGTGATAAGAGGCTTAATTTGACTGAATTTGACTGAACCTGTGGACAGTTAACTCGCATGGAATTGTTAGGGGTCCTCTATGCAGGGGAGTCGCAGAAGGGTCAGAATACGTATTACAGTATATCAAAGATTTAGTGTGTAATATGCATAGCTGTGTTTGTGTCAATTAATAAATCAATCAGATCAATCACGAAAAAGCATGAAGTCATGAAGAGATGAAGTATTCCTTTCCACCATTTATAGCTTTGGGTCTACCCTTAGCAACATATCTTACATATATAGGCTATAATGATATTGACATTCTACCCTGGAAACAGAAACCTAATATTTTGTAACTTTATGAGGTCAGTGACCTATGTGCTTAAAATATTTGTACATTGGTATCAATAGGGTTGGCCTGAGACTGAGAATTGATATCCCCAAACAACTGATTTTCTTTTATCTGCCCAGATGCTTGAATAGTTGGTAAATGAAGTCACTCCCTAGCCTACTTTGGTTTCAAGGCGCTTATGACCTTGTCACGTCTCTAGGCCCTCACACACATGGCCCTGACTCAGGGCCCCTGAGCATCCTCATTTGTTACCTTAAAAATAGCACACGATTACTTCTGCAATTTTTTTGCAAAACCGATGCTGAGATAGTAACTGGGACTCAAACTCCTATAAATGGTGTGGGTCACCGGGTCACGGGTAAATAAAACAGAAGGAAAGGGTTTAGGGTCAGCCAACTCGAGTTATATACAGTTTTTCACTCTTCTCCAGAGGAACTTCAATGTGCAAAGGGATCTCAGGTGGGGGCATTGAATTGGAATACATCAGAATAGTGAATATGGAACCAAAATCTTACATGGAGCACCGGACCTCTCAGTGAAAATGGATGTAAAACATTTTAGGGACAATTTTCAGCAGAGGCAAACTTGATCATGAATTATCATTTTTTTTATGGACAGCAGTTGTGAATGTGGATAACAATTAGAAAAGAGAAATTAGAATAAAGTCACTGATTTGTTCTCTTCTTTATTTTATTGTCTTTATTTGCAAAACAATACGATGATGATAATTAGAAGACAAAATAAAAGTAGACGTACAGCTTGCATGGAGAGTTTATTTTTTTTATTTTTTACTAATGGGCTTGTAAAGCACCTCCTTTCAAATAGAAACAAATAAAGAGTAATGGAATAACTCATATTTTAATTTTGCCAAATGCCAAAAGTTATGCAAAAGAGAGCATCACCAAAAGCAATGCCTCGAAAGGTTGGGTTTCCTGAGATGGGGGTTATTGTCTAGTTGCCTCTGATTGGCGTGAAAGACAGGGTGATTCTGTTACAGATGCAATGAATATACATTTACTGAATCCTATCATACACTCGTATTACAAACAAAAAACGAAAACAGTAGCCTATATTTACCACATAAACAGTAGGCCTATAATTGTTTTAAATTGTGTATTTAACTCTTTACAGTCGTGGAAATTGGCTGATATGGATAGGGATAAATTGAAATGTTTCTGGGCTAAATTGAAATGTTTCTTACAGAAGAAATATGAAAAACATATGCATAACAATGGTAGCAATTGAAAGGGAACAGTTTGGAAATTATGGGAAAATTATTAGACCAAAGGTGAGGACACAACGGTTCACCTGACACAAGACTGAATCCAAACATTACATTGTTGATTTTATGTGCATTTTACATTTAATGTACTTCTCGCCGCATTTGTTGATAACGAAATCTGAAAATACTCTGGATACATTCAGTAACATGACACGACAATTCCTGGAAAATGCGGGGTAGGTACAAAATAAGACAAATAAATGACAAGGGTTTGAGTGAGAGGACTAACTAGTGTCTCTTAGCGGCCACACACCTCTCCAAAGTGTGCACAGTTCCTAAGTCATTTCAATTAACTTTTATGACTCAAAGAAGAATCTTCAACTATAAGGTGCTTTTTTGAGCTCTCCTAGAACAAGTACACTTATAGTTATTTTGTTAGGAACACAACCCTGCATCACTGCCATCACACAATTACTGTTGTTGTTTATGGAATCCAAAAACGGTCCATTATACATCGCAATCTGGGTCAGGTGGGCATAATTTAAAAGCCTGTTCTGTTACCGACATGACTAAGTTATAAAATACGGTCTTTCAGAGTTAGGCTTTCACAAGGCAATTCAGGGAAACAGATCATCATTTTGGTGCGCATAGAAAGGAGTCATGAGTGCATTCAGGTGCGTTTGCCGCAGCTAATTTTCTTCACAAAAGACAAACATAGGCTGATTCTGTTCAGAACAACCCAGAGTAAGACGGCATCTCATCATCAAACATAGTAATCATAAACGTTGACACTGTATATGACATGGGTTTTATGATATGGAAATGTGAAGTGCACATTTGGACTCATGGGTGTTTGGCTTGCTTGTATGACATCAAATAGGTATTTATTATAATCCTCAACATCTCATCTTTCAAAAATACATAGAGTCTTCTTAATTACAGCATCTTCCTCACTTAGATAACAACATCTTTGAAAAAGTTGCCCAATTAGCAGGAGGGATGGGGCCAGGCGGCAACTTCTTGTCGCATGAGGTGCTCAAGTTCAGAACAGCTCTCAGTAAAAAAATATAAATAACATACAGTGCTGTGAAGCGCAGAGCCAGAGCTTTGACGTCATGTATAGCATGTTGTACAGCCACTGCTTTCCAATTTAGGCGTTTATCAGTGACCAAATCTGCCATTTTCAACCAATATAGGTATGAGTGTAAAGGGCTACAATGTATCTTTAAACACGTTATTTCCCACGTCACTAATTTGGCAAAGTGATGATGAATTTTTTTTTATACGTTTACATTATAAGTGCTTCTACACGCTGAAAAGATTGAGAAATTGGTGTTTAGTCAAACCAAATCTGTGGCCGAATTGACTGTGAAGTGAGGGTAACTAGCACTGCATGGTTTGCGCCAAGTTGGAGTTGTGCGCATAACGCACACGTTCGGATCGATTTACAGAGTTGGCACCTGTTTCTTCTCCCCAGTGGCAAATAAAATATAATAAAAACTAATTTAAAACGTTAAAATTCAGTATCTTGTCTTTCTATTCATCTTAATTTTAACCTTATTGTAACCTCGTGGGTTATTCACTCTTGAAAATAACATAAATGTGATCCCTATAGTGTTAACAGTGTTAACACCTAAATGTAAGAACATTATAATTTGACAGCGAATACAAGATCTCTCCATAAATTTGCAAATCACTGTATTTGATATTCTATCTATTCCTTTTTTCAGAAAGAAACAGTGGCCGTCGGTGCACTTCTCGCTGCGGCTGATGTGACCGCAGCTCTGGCTGCTTACTCAGGGAAGAAGACTATACCAGTTTGTCAACGGAAATCAGCAGGTCCAATTTTTCTCCACTTCAGACCTACTACGTCAGATTGTGTTTTACTTGTGTGTTTCACAAAGTACTCGTTGTATAGTATACTACATTCTACAGTGCATAATAGAGCCAGAAAATATGTACATTTGCATATCTTCAATATATCACCAGCATAGGCAGATATGGAAATAGTACTCAATAAGATACAGAAGGAAGGACAATCAATTAATCTGTGGCCAATATTATTGTGAATAATTAGCTCATATTGGAAACGCAGTCAAAGTTAGGCTACTGCCATTCTGAGAAACCCCTATAAGAAACAGAGTCCCATATCACTTATGCTACAAGCTTGATGAGGATGTCCGTGTGATCAGTAAACTCTCACTTGAAACTCAAGTAAATGTCAATGAAATGCCATCAATGCCGTCAATGTTGATGACAGTCACAAGTGGCACCATGCATTGACAGACACTGTCCATCAAATAGCGGCCGATTCATTCGATATCAAGAGCTTCGCTTCCAAGGTTGGCCTGGCCGCCAAGTCCGCCGACGAGATCAAGAAGGCATTTTTCATAATCGACCAGGACAACAGCGGCTTCATTGAGGAGGAGTTCAAGTAAGGCACTTTATCATTGTCCAATAACACATTTGTATATGCGGTACACATTTGAGGCGCTATAGCCAAGTTCAAGTTTGTTTGTTTATTCATCATCATATGGAGTACACAGTGCAATGAAATGCTTACTTGCAGGTTCACCTCTCGACAGTGCAGCAAACATAGAAGAAAGTAGATGGCTGAAGAAACAGTCATAGAAATATTTACAAAACTCTATGCTGTAAAAATAGAATAGTAATTTAGTAATAATTTAATTAAGCAATAAGGCCCAAGGGGGTGTGGTATATGGCCCTATATACCATGGCTAAGGGCTGTTCTTATGCACGATGCAATGTGGAGTGCCTGGATACAGCACTTAGCTGTGGTATATTGGAAATATACCACAAACCCCAGAGGTGAATTATTGCTATTATAAACTGGTTACCAACGTAATTAGAGCAGTAAAAATGACTGTTTTGTCATACCGTGGTATACACTCTGATATACTACGGCTTTCAGCCAATCAGAATTCAGGGCTCAAACCACCCAGTTTATAAATCAGAATATAATACAACAAGGCACTCAATGAATTAAGACAGATATTTACAACATGTGCCGTGGAAGTGTGCAATAGAATGTGCAATAATAGCAGACATTGTTCAGTATAATAAATAGGAGTCCAGTAGCAGCAGTCGTGGAGTGTGTTTGTAGCGTGGATGTGTGTGTGAGCGTGTGAGTGGGAGTGTGTGTGTGTGTGTGCGTGTGTGTGCGTGTGTGTGTGTTTGGGTCTATGTGTAGGTGTGTGTGAGTGAGTGCATATGTGGTAAGGTGTATAAAGTCAGAGTTCAAGAGTTCAGAGGTCTGATGGCTTGTGGGTAGAAACTGTCTCTGAGCCTGGTGGATCGAGACTCGATGCTCTGATACTGTCTGCCAGACAGTAACGGAGTTAATAGTCTATGGCTGGAGTGTGAGGGGTCCTTGATGATGTTGCGGGCCTTCCTCAGGTATCGCTTGGAGTAGATGTCCTGTATGGGTGGGAGCACGGTACCTGTGATGTACTGGGCCGTCTTCACCACCCGCTGGAGGGCATTGCAGTCGAGAGCGGGGCAGTTTCCATACCAGACCTTCCAGGATCCAGTTGCAGAGGATGGTTTCCAGACCCAGGGCCCTGAGCTTGGAGGGAACAATGGTGTTGAATGCTGAACTGTAGTCAATGAACAGCATTCTCACATACTGTAGGTGTTCCTTTTGTCCAGGTGTGATAGGGCCGTATGGATAGCAATGTCATCTTCCATGGATCTATTGGATCAGTGGGCAAATTGGACAGGGTCCAGTGTGCCGGGCATGCTGGCCTTTATGTGGGCCATGACCAACCTCTCGATACACTTCATCATGATGGGGTGAGTGCAACAGGATGGTAGTCATTTAGGCATGTCACCTTAAGTTTTTTGGGGCACTGGAACGATGGTGGTTGACTTGAAGCATGTGGTGACTACAGCCTGAGACAGGGACATGTTGAAGATGTCTGTGAAGACGCCTGCCAGTTGGTCAGCGCATGCTCTGAGGATGTGGCCGGGGATGCCGTCTGGTCCTGCAGCTGTTTTCAAAACAGTCCTGGAGTATTGAGTCAGCTCCGTCCATCTTTTGTTTCACTATTCTGTCTGTTGGTGGGTCCCTCTTCAGTAGGTTTTTGTATGCAGGGAGTAGAAACAGGGAGACGTGGTCTGATTGGCCGAAGTGGGGGCCAGGGGATGGCTCTGTACGCGTCCCAGAAATTTGGATCCGTTCTTAAATAAAAATAAATAAATACAATTCTCCCATGAAGTAATCCAACAATGTGTGCGCCGCCATCTTGTCTATTTCAAATCTTCTCCTTGATCAAGACAGGGGAGTGTCATTCAACACAATGCTTGATTTCTGAGTCGCACTCACGACATGCGGCACCTGAGAGAAGATTTCAAATAGACAAGATGGCGTCTTGTTGGACTACTTTATGGAGCAAAACATTTATTTAATTTAATAATGGAGCATTTTCTTAATTCAAACGAACCACCTGCAACTAGACATGGAAGTTTAGAAGACATGTGTTGTCTTCTGTAGCTCAGCTGGTAGAGCATGGCGCTTGTAACGCCAAGGTAGTGGGTTCGATCCCCGGGACCACCCATACACAAAATTGTATGCACGCATGACTGTAAGTCGCTTTGGATAAAAGTGTCTGCTAAATGGCATATTATTATTATTCCAAGTCTGGAATTGAGGAAGTATCGCCAAGTAAAGGTTGGTTGAAAATTCTCTGTGCAATGCATTACACTAAGTAACAATGGCTATCAGCCAGCTGGAACAGTAATAATGGTCTGATTAGTCTAAGTTTTAAAAGCTACACTAATCCAACATCTCTCCCTTCATCCTCTCTCTCTCTCAGGCTGTTCCTGCAGAACTTCTCTGCCAGCGCCAGAGTACTCACAGACAAAGAGACCAAGGTTTTCCTGGTAGCCGGGGACGAGGAAGGTGATGGCAATATTGGAGTTGACGGTAAGATAACCTTAACCCAGCTCATCATGTTTGAGGGACATTGCAGGGATGATATGTCGGTGTACTGGTAACAAATAAATTGGACATATAGCTGGGACCCAGAGTTTTTCCTGACCACAAGGAAAACTGACACTAGAGGAGATTTGCTACATTGACTGCCTTGTGTGTATAAGAGCAAGAGGTTTTATTTTATTTTCATACTACTGCAGAAGGTGTACATTGATTTTTTGATTTGTTGACTACATCATATTATTCAAACATGAACAATAAGGTCAATGTTCTTGGTTGGGCATATTTTTCACAGTACTACTTTTCGCAGAGTTTCTTGCCCTTATAAAGGCATAATTGTCCATTGACCAAGATCCACAGTTTTTCACAGAACCAGAACTCCTATCAAGACTCACTAACTTATTTATCAACTGCCTGCGGACTATATTTCTCAACACGGAGCACAATGTCCTTATAGTGTATTGTTAATGTTATTTGGATATGTTATAATGATCTGAAAATGGCTTGTGCAAATTGTACAATCGTATCTGCACTTCCGAGGAATAGTGAAAACCCAGTAATAATAACTATTTTGGTGTAAATGTTGTCTTTCCAGCTTAGCCTCTCGATGCTTTGGAAACCAATGTGGGGAGAAATAAGCCTGAGTTCCAGATGTATACTGCATGTGCTGTCTTGCAAACTCCTATGTCACTATCACACCAAGACAGATCTGGGACTCAGGCTATAGGGGAAAATTTTAGGAGAGTTCAAATGTATCCTGTGTGTTTATCTATGAGGTCATTGCTAGTGTGAGGGGTTATGAGGAGAGAGAGAGAGAGAGAGAGAGAGAGAGAGAGAGAGAGAGAGAGAGAGAGAGAGAGAGAGAGAGAGAGAGAGAGAGAGAGAGAGAGAGAGAGAGAGAGAGAGAGAGAGAGAGACAGAGAGAGACAGAGAGAGAGAGAGAGAGAGAGAGAGAGAGAGAGAGCGTGCACCTGTTTTAATAATGCCCAGATGGGAGTCCTGTAGGATTTGGGCCAGGTCCTGGCATGCTTGTAGTGTGGGGGAAGTCCTTGGGCATCACTGGGATACTTCCTAAGGGATTTGAAGAGGATATATTTCACATTACTCTAATAGAGCCTTGCAGGTCTGCCCGCCTGCTGCCCCCTCATGGATTCTCACTCTCTGGATGGCACTTCCTCTTTGGTCAACGAGACAAAGTGCTGGAGCAAACTGACACTGCAGCAGAATGGCCAAGAATAGCCTTGTGACATTATGTTGAGTCAGCAGGACATTTTAAATACATGTTAAATACAGTGCAACCAGAGTGTGTATGGTTCCTTTATAAATACTTAAGGAGATTGTGGTATTTTCAGTCATGTAAGATTGTGTTTATCTGTATCATTTGTGAAAACTTGTGGCACATCTTGCAATGTATTTGTAGGCTCTTTATTTTACATATACTTAAAAGTTACTTACACTAAATAATTTACAATAGCTAACTAACAATTATCCTATTATAGCTTATCTGAGATAATTCCACATCTTCTAATTTAACAGTCAAAACATGTACACAGACTGTGTTCAGCGAATCAGTGTATCACTGACCCCATTGGTGCGACATAGTAACTACCCAACTAAGCAATGTATCCGTAATACAACACGCAACACTTTTGCGACATAAGCATGCCGCAATCAATTAATTTTCCAAACAGAAAAATATGTTGTGATAGTATACCCCCGCCCCCCACCCCCCGTCAGAGATAGGACAGTGATGCCACCTGCAGGAAAAAAATACTATGTTCGCTATAAACTTTAGCATGTATTTGACCACAAGTGAAAAAAAACAACGTTTGCTGTAAAATTGCTTAACGAACAGTTAAACATTATGGTGGAATGGTGCATTGTTTTCTACCCAATAGCCAAACCATGTGAAAGCAATTATCAGTACTTCGACGTCATAACTTCGTTTATTTCCCAAGTACTCTGAGCGATATAAAGGGCAACAAAAATATACAAATACAAAGGACTTGAGCGTGCAGTATAGGCTAGATATGAAGTATAGTACAGTTTACTGTAGGCTAATCCCCATGATCACATTAACTGTATAGATTTACAGAAGCCGCAGACACTTTTTGGCTATGCACAATTAGTCCGGTATACACCAACGGATGTGGAAGATTATTAGGATCAAATTTGCTTTCACGAGACATTGCATGATAAAATCTAGGCAATCATAAGCATGTTGCAAGTAAATTACTTTCATGTAAAATATTACAAGTTTAGTGTAGCCTCATCTTATTATATCAAAATATTTAATCATAAAAGCATCATACCTTCTCTAAATCATTTAGAAAACCATTATATTTACACACGGTTTACGCACATCCAATACTTCACCTTAATGCAACGGATGACTGGAAACTCTAACAAATATATTCAGAGTAACACAAAATAGTTTTAAACAGACCTCTCAAGTCCAGCATATGTGTGCATATTACATGAAAACTACAATCCTCCTTATAAATCTCGTCAATGACCGCGTTGATATCCATAGGCTACATGAACCTCTCAATATCTTTTTAGCAACCGTCGATTCCATCCCTATCACTCAACAGAATATATTCTTAGCAATGGGGGATATTATGGACTTTTTTCAAACGCACCTTTTAAGCATCTTCATTTATGAAACTTTAAATAGATCGGGTCTCTTGCCAGTGGACAATTAGACCCCCCCCCCCCCTCCCCGACCGGTGTCGGTTACATTATGCCTCGAATATCGGTTGACTGAAAGTATATAAGGTCAGCAGTATCGATGGGAACACCACTCGCTGCAGTCGCCTGAAGTCTTCTCTATCAACCGTTCACCAAAGACATCAGAGGTGAGTTTCCGTGCGGTGCTAAGGACGTACAGTAACCCAGGATCCAGAAAGGTTGCAACAACATCCAGGCTTTTGCTGTACATTTTATCCTATGCGCACTGTACAATTTACCTTAAACGTGGGACAGCAAGCCGTTGTGTCATTCAAAACACCCAAAGACTGAGATTTTGATTCTGTACTTTTTGGCTTTATTTGGACGCACACCGGAGCCAGATGGATTTCGACAATTGCAATTCAGTTTCTCAGATGGAACGTTTGGAATGCAACATCAACATCCTTATCAAAAACCCACATGTGCCGTGGGCTGCCTTAACCATGGCCTATCGGGTCTTTCCTTTTGGGAACCACTAAAAACGTTTCAATTGGATTTGATATGAATTCCCAAATTACACCCATTGGTTGAGACAGAAACATTTGAGGGCAGCTTGACACATTCGATTTGATCTGTCCAATTGCATTATAATCACATGGATGGCACAGGGGGCTCCGCTATTATCAAAAGACCACCAGCCAAATGCTAGTAAACAGTGGCTGGTCGATTTTAAATATTTGTTTGACATCCTGCGTAATGCAGTGGATAATCTATTATAAATGTAATAAGATGGGTTGAGTCGTGCTGACATTTTGGCTGGTAGAAAGTCGGAGTGTTTGGTGATTTGTTCATCTTTTTTAGCATTATGTTTGTGCCCTGGTATTGCACAATAGAATAATAACTTAGTACTTACCTGGTAATAACCTCTCAAAACATGACGTAGAGTCAATGCAGTGCTCAATACTGAACGTTGACACGCTAAATCAAAGTTGAATTCAAGTAACAATTTCTCCCCTTTTTCAACATTCAGCTCAAAATGGCCTGTGCCCATCTGTGCAAGGAGGCTGACATCAAAACCGCATTGGAAGCTTGCAAAGGTAGAGCCTAGTTTGTTTACTTTTCCCCCACCTAAAAAGCCTTTTTAACCCAACTATGTGGTATGATAAACGTCAAATTAGCTATATGAACACACGATTACCTCTCTAGTCTGTAGTTGCATTATGTGTTTACTTGCAGGTTATACAGTAGGCATATATCCTTTATATTTGCGTTACAGCCGCCGAATCCTTCAACTTCAAGACCTTCTTCCATACGATTGGCTTTGCTGCGAAGTCCGCCGACGACGTCAAGAAGGCTTTCAAGATCATTGACCAGGATGCAAGTGGCTTTATTGAGGTGGAGGAGCTGAAGTAAGAGCCATGCACCATTACAGGACAAATAACAGACAATAGATTAAATCAATGCAGGAGACTGTCACTGTATCGGTGCGCATGCATTCTAAATGTAAGTGTGCATTAGTGCATTGGCCAGCATACATTCAAATGAAACTAAACCAATATTGGTGTCTGTGTCTCCAGGCTGTTCCTTCAGAACTTTTGCCCCAAAGCCAGGGTACTTACCGACGCCGAGACAAAGGCTTTCCTCAAGGCTGGTGATGCGGATGGTGATGGCATGATTGGAATTGATGGTACGAAACATAGCATACATGGGTTAATCAATGCGTTAATCAATGTTACTTGCATATTAATAACGATGTTTAGGACCTGGTTTCAATCTATTTTAAGGCCTAAGCTAGGAAAGTAAACTAATGTTATAAGACACTGGAAAGGGTTAATGTTTTTTCTTTTCTTTTGCAGAGTTCGCTGTATTGGTTAAGCAATAAAGAGCAACTGACCAAGAACTCACCTGAAGGAACAATATTGGCCAAGACCTCCCCTTTTCATCTGAATATAAATAATTTTTATACATTTTCTTGCAAGAAGTTTCCTCCTGTGCGGCACACTGTCCAAAATTATGATTGTGAATGTAGCGCGGATGTATTCATGTCTTATATGAATTTTGCTTACTGTAAAATCTATGATGCACTTTTCAGGAAAGGACGATAGATAAAAAAGAATCAATATTCTTTTGGAATAAAAGGTCTTTGTATTATTTCCTATTTAATTAATCAAATGTGTTTATCTGAGTTCAGATGCCATTAATTTAACTTCACATCCATAAAAGGAACCGGTTTATATTAACTGTAATTGAGTAAACGACTGCCATTTTATTTGCTATAAATTATACATAATAATTCATGACACATAGTCTATTTGTCATGTTTTGCTCATAAAAAAACAGAACAATCATTGTGCAAGTACAAATGAACGCACACTTTACGCACGAGGGTGCACAGGCACACACAAACCGAAGGAGAGAGAGAGAGAGACAGAGAGAGAGAGAGAGAGAGAGAGAGAGAGAGAGAGAGAGAGAGAGAGAGAGAGAGAGAGAGAGAGAGAGAGAGAGAGAGAGAGAGAGGACAATACAAGTCAATAAAAGAAATACCAGCATGGCACCAACTTAGTTTTGCCGCCCTCATATGAAAATAGGTAACAGAAATGTTCTACTTAAACAATAGATACATCCATAATTTACATCCTATCCCAGAGTAGAGACAAGGATTGAGGGTTCAAGTGATTCCAATTATGTTTTATACAGTACCTTAGAGCAGTGGTTCCCAACCAGGGGTACTAGGACCCCTGGGGGTCCTTGGCCTATCCACAGGGGGTACTTGAGAATACTCATAAGACCATAGGCCTACTGGTAAAATACACATGTGGGGGTACTCCAGGGGTACTCCGGGCAGAGCAAAATTCAGTTGGTGGTACATTAAACGAAAAAGGTTGGGAACCAGTGCCTTAAGAGTCTGCATACATATATGGACAAAACACATGCTTCAATATGTTTTATAATGAAAAAGGTTGGGAACCAGTGCCTTAAGAGACTGCATACATATATGGACAAAACACATGCTTCAATATGTTTTATAATGTTTTTAGTCAATCAAATGTATGTATAAAGCCCTTTTTACATCAGCAGTTGATTGATTGATTGTCAACAAGTGTTCCTGCTGATCTCATCAAATGCGTCTCTATGATTTGATGTCCGGTGTCCAGTGGGCCTAACGACATTACTAAGGAGCCCCACATGGGAGTATAGTCTATGCGTCGGCGTTATGAGTCCACTAGATGGTGGCAAACCCAAAGACAGTGAGTAGTCTTCCCAAGGCAGCGTTTCCCCTAAATAGAGACAGCGGTGCGTATTGGGGTGTATTCAGGGAAGTTAAACGCTCTGAACGTTACAAATAGAAATATAATGAATAGATATGATACGATTCCCTCGATAGGTTACATTGCTTTCTGAACGTTAACGTTAATTACACTCTCCTGAACAGGTACAGTGATACTGATGGTTTGTCGGGACTGATGGTTAATTGACAACTGTAACATTTTAGCTAAACCTAACCCAACTACGGAAAGAAGTGACTTCACGTAGCAGGTTAGAACTAACGCAGCAGGTTAACAGAATTAACGCAGCAGGTCAGGATAATTAACGTAGGCCTAATTAAAGGGTTAGGGTTTGGCTTGGCTAAACTGCTAGTTGTCAAAACATTTATCCCCGACGCTACAACTAGATGGAGCTGTACTCCATCTAGCCACAACCGTAGAAACCATCAGTCACGACAAACCATCAGTAGGCCTATCATATAACAATGGCCCCTGATGTGTGTTTGAAGAGTCACGTTAAAACGGAGGACGAACCATGAAACAACATCTCGTGCAGCTTTTGAAACCATACGCCCACAAAACTGGAACACTAACAGCCATTGATTTAGGCAACTATAACCATGTCAGGCAGAGCTGTCTGGTTTAGTCATTGCCTTTTGGTAGGGCATTTGGCGCTATAGCTACACTGTCAAGAGGAAAAAGTCGATGCAAACAAACAGAAAACAGCGCTAATAACATTCGAATATGATTTAGCACCACGGGACAGCGGCAATCGGAACCCCCTGCGATCAGATGTTTCAGGACCATGTTCATAATGTAATGTAATCATAATACACTGAAGTCAGATAACTTATGCAGTTAGCCTATTATCTAGAACTGCATATGTTATGTCTACACATTTTTCAATTTGATTTAACCGAACAAGCAAAACACACCCGTTTCTTCCGTGGCAACGGTAACGGAGCATCTCTAATCCGTTTCTGTTCGACACCGGATGAGCCAGGACAAATGACGACTATCCTGCCCATGTACGCTTGTAAAGAAAATTAGCAAATGAATAAATTACCGCCCAGTAACCGTATAGGCGACGAGGTATCAGAATGGCGCACAACATCACCGCATGTTGGTAAGGGGCACCGCTCGATCCGATGTCCTCCTCAGTCTCTCTTTCACATAGGACCAGGGACAGGGAGAGCCTATTGAGTTTCCACTCATGCATCTGCCGCTGGAGCCCCAAATCCTAGAAAGAGGTTTCGGACATTGGACATGGAGACGCTAGTCGCACTATTGCTCGTTCGTGCGCCCAGTCACAAAATGTGATTTAAAAGGTCAGGCTGTGACTGAGCGAGCTGCAGGAGTAGTTTTAATTATTTTAATTACAAACCTTGCATTAATGAACTACATTTATATAAAAATAACCATAAAGTGGTCCCAAGGGAAATGTTTTCTCCTCATGCGTACATGTTTGGAGAGTTAGTGGAAACGCAGCGTATAGCCTACACACTATCCACACCAACTCTCCCACCAAAATATGCACCAGAATAAAACAACAATATTAAGCAGTGAAAATACAAGCCTAATATGTCCTAAAGGATTAGTGATCTAGCCTACTGTTCTTTTAAGCGCACGTGCCCACTCGATCATTTCAGCAGTCATGCAATTAATTTATGCATAAAAGTACAATAAATGTAATAACCGTGGGGCTAGAACACTGTAATATCAGTCTAAAGGTTCATTTTACTTGGAATTTCAGCCTACATATGCAAGGTACGTTTAAATAAGGTTCACTTGACCTGTCCTTGAGCGACCTTTACCCATCTACTTTGCACGACACACTATAACGCCTGCGGTCTGGGAGGGCTCGCGCGGTCGCCAGCTGACGCGCTCGACCGCTGCCTGCTTCCGCTGCTGCAGCTGTGTTGGGCAGGTGCCAAGTACTGTAGTCTATAAATCCCCCCCCCGCGCGCGCCGCGGTTTCTCATTGAATTGAACAGCTTGCAAGCTGGTCTATGATTGTTGTCTGCCCCCGGCTATAGGGGATATTCAGCGAAATCCCTACCTCAAAGGGTGTCCATTTCTTGTTGAGTGGTGCCACTTGTTATTAAACTTGCCGAGAGAATTGTCAAGGCTAAATGTCAGACTTTGTTTCAAAACTTTAATGATGAGAATCATAACAGGATTTGAATTTGATAAATAATTAGATACATCTTTTTTTTAATAATAATTGGATAAATAATATAATTTATGTCGATTTTATATTTAAAAGGACACAAATCAGATGCTATCTGTATTATTGATGACATCCTGTGCAGTGCACTGTCACCCCAATACGAACACATGCACACCTTTACAGTGAGAAGTGAGCACACATGCACATTGCACACCTTCAACTTTCCCCTTGTCCAATTATGAATAATAGCTGTTCTCCACAGTCCAGAAGCAGGGTATACTCCAAGGGATATGGTTAATGAACTCGCCGCAGACCTCTCCATTCACTTCTACATACAGCGACATTGTTTTAGGGTTGTCCTCTGAAGGTATAGGAATTCTGCCAATGGTCACATTTTACATACTGCCCAAATACAGTATTACATTTCACTGCTTCAATAACACTGTGAGGAATTGCAAAGATAAGCATTGTTCTAAATGGATCACTCTGTTAGATCTGCTAACGCCCAGGGTCGCCCCTGCGGCCATATCTAGTGTGGCCATTTATATCTGAGGGATGGCCTGAGTGACCTCAATAGACAAGATGCAATCTCTCTCTCGCTCTCTCTCTCCCCCCATTTCCCAAACTCTATTCCAACACAGACGCCATAGGCAAATGTGTGTGTATGTGTGTTTATGCGTGTGTGCATGTGTGTATGGACCCTAATTGACATTACATCATCATGCACAATCAAGTGGGACATTGAAAAACAGGGTAACCTTGTGTCCTTTAATCAGCACACTGGACAAAATGATAGCTCAATATTTACCCCCGTCTGGTCTGTAGTGCGAGAGAAGGTTAAATATATCGTCATGATGACATTCCGTGATAGGCAACCCCTGTTGTGTGTGTATCTGTGGAGTTTAGTAGTATTAGATTTGCAGAGGATAATCTAACCCCATCTGGTGGGTCCAACAGAGTAGCAGGGTTTGAAAAATGTGGGCTGTTTAAATCCAAATGAGGGCACATTTTTTGACAGATTTGCAGGAGATTTGGACCAGAGCGTTCGTTCTCAGGGGGCTGTGGGCTACTACACCACACAATGGCCGCACTTTATCTCCCCACAAATTGTTCAACATCCAATATCCACATATCCAGTTATACACTTTATAATTGAATGTGGTTTATTGGAGCTTGACTTCTCCCTGAATGCAGCTTTCTTTCTCACTGAATGACCTTTTTCACTGAGGACAATATACTGTATGTGTGACACAAATACCAGCTCTGGGACTGCTTGTAGAGAGACAGACAGACAGACAGACAGAGATTAGCCTTGTTTATACCTTGCGCTAACATGTGAGTTTCGTGATATGATCAATATGATCCAATAACTATCTGATCAAGGTTTGTCACATCTACACATTGTATTAAAATATGTCTCTTATCCCTTCTCCCTTACCCAGCTTACCCTCCACTGTGTCCGCATTGTGAACAGATTAGCTGGTACCTCCCTGTATGCAAATTATTTGACAGATATTCTAAATAATATGGATTTATTTACTGATGCAATAAGTCAATGGTGCTACCTGTCAATGATTTTAGAGGCCAGTACAATGCTGATTTAAATGATTTGACCATGCAGATCTGTTTATACTTGATTGATATCCAGACACAATGCCTGCCTGTCTTTTAATCTTCCTGTGTAGAAATTTGGGCATAATCGGAATGTGGACAAGATCAGGACAACGGGCGCATGTTAGCACCAGGTATAAACAGGGCTAGAGAGACTGCACATTTTTGTACCATAGTACTGTATTATAATTCGAGAAGGGAGGGAGAGGGGGAGGAGGACTGGATTAGGTGTGGGTGGGAGGAGGGGATATAGAATAATGCACTGATGACTTAATTTGCCATTTACAAGGGCGTTACTGATGTCCAAAGTAGTCAGTCTATGGTCCTGCCCATGGGCGTTATAAAAGGGTAAAGGTGAATTAGTTAGGGAAGAAATTTGATCAGGGACGGGCAGTTAAAATTTGATACTCAGACAGGTAATTCAAGCATTCCCTATTGTCACCGCAATCAGACCTATATAAATCGTCTCTGACGGACACCAGTCACCACATAGCCTTCCTTACTCCTCTCTTTTGGATCAACGACCGGGCAAGAACCTCAACGCGGTAAGTTGACTTTGCGCTCTGAACTGGACTCAGGGGAGTCATTCTCTGCCACTTTGAGTGATAGAAATTGTTCTTTTTTTCTTATTCACTTCGTTTGTGTTTATAATGAGTAGTTTACTTGGCTTTAATGTTTAGACAAACGATGTTTAGCAGCGTATTAGACAAAGTTGTGCCATATTTTCTTTTTAGGAAGTATCTAATTCATTCTTTGCTATCCGTTTGAGCAAATACTTATTTAAATGGTAGTTGATAAACTGGCGTATAACCATTTGTTAGCCTTGGGTCAATTTGACTGGGATATTTAACTTCAGACACTGAAGAGAGTTCCCATGCATCTGTGCATTATCTGTGCGCCTTGGGACGCTTTGGTACGCGCAGGGTGACAGAGACAGTGTCCTGAACGTATTCAGGGCAGACTAAAAATCATTTGCCAGTAGTGGTATTTGGAGTAGGCCTACCTAGCTTTTGTCAACGAATCAGATCAAGCAACAGGCTCAGGGGAATTACTGAGAAATTATGTCAACACAACTGTTATGTGCATGAGCTGAATCAATAGACCTTAGGCTATATGCGTGTCAGTTATTGGCTATGTTTTATAGGCATGTGAAACTGTACTTAAGATATGCTATCCAAATAATTATAATATTCTGCACCAGCCAAACCAACGTCTTGTGTCTTCAAAGAAGAAGCAGCATGCATTGCTGTTTAGCCGACCTGACTAATTGTGTTAATAATTCACCACTGTTGTTTCTTCAACAGGATTAAAATGTCGCTCTCATCTGTCCTTTCGGCTGATGCCATCGACGCAGCTATGAAGGACTGCCAAGGTATCATCTTCCACTAATATCATTATTGCTTTCTTCATTAGATTCCTTCACCACATTAGTGGTAGCCTAGGCAATGGGCAGATTCACTATACTAAATAAAATAAAATAAGGTCGTCCATTGTTGATGTCAAACAAAAAACAGAAGTATAGGCCTACTTAGGTGGTATAAAATGAGGCCTATTTTAGAGAAAACAACATTTAGGCTACAGTAGACTCACACACCAAACCCCACAAAAGCATTTAGGACAGAACAGATGGCAGGTGTCTCAGTCAGCTTTTTTGTCCCTAAATGTATCAGGAGGAATTATAATGCAAACAATTGTCTTCATTTAGACTGAGTTTTTGAATGAATGAAAATGTGATGTGCCTATGAGTGAACTAAACTAGACTAAACAGATGAGTTGGTTTTTTGAATCAGCCGCAACCTGGTCTCAGAGCATTTCGTATTATTCTGTACGTAAATCTGAGACCCTCCTTTTAGTATGATATGTTATGAATTACAATTCGTATTATATGTTACAAATTTGCAAAACCTACAATATGCTACGAACTTGCAAAATGTACAATACGTTACGAATTCGCAAAACTTATGATATGTTATGAATTCTAGCTAGGTGGCTAAAAGGGTTAGGGTTAGGGTCTGCGTTAGTTTGCATTCTTCCACTAAGCCTATCTCCACTTCCTACCCCCACTTCCTCGTTAACGACCTATACCAGAGCTAAGGCCGAACACGCCTGTTAATTTTCTCATGTCATCCTTACCCCATCAGCACCGGACTCCTTCAACTGTAAGAAGTTCTTCCAGCAGTGTGGTCTGACCAAGAAGAGTCCCGCGGACGTGAAGAAAGTCTTCGGGATCCTGGACAACGACGCCAGTGGCTTCATTGAGGAGGAGGAACTGAAGTGAGTCGGCTACAATTGTTGGACTTTTAGTTAGTGATGAACTACAATCTTTGTGTTCTTTCTACTACAATATTTAGGCCTAAAGAAAATAGCCCATATATTCTTCTTGAAGCAGCATAGGCCTATATCATCCTCTGTAGGCCCTAAACGTGTTAGGCTACCTGTAATTTTGCAAAGGTTATCATTTTTGATCATCAATCTTGTTCTGGAGACAGCTCTGCAGTGGTCACTAGCTGGCACAGCCACAAAGTCATCAAATCTGATTTTAAACCTAACCCCAACCTTTACCCTACCACACTGCTAACCCTAATGCCTAACCCTAACCTTAAATCAAGACCAAAAAGCAAATATTTGTTTTCATGCATTTTTTTTACAATCTAGACAATTTTGACTTTGCAGCTGGCCCATCTAGTGGAAATCGCTCAGTTCGGCCTCAAGGACAACACTCATCCCAATAAACGTCAACCTAACTTTGCTCGAAATAGGCTACTTCTTGAAGATAGGCTTTGTAAACTTGCACATCTTTACTAGTGCACCCCCATCAAGAGATAGTCAATTGTCATAATGATGGCATATTAGGCCTGCTTTCAGTAAGCATGTCCTCTACAACTCCTACACTTTTTTTTTCATGAAACTTTTTAAAATTTCTTTTAGGACAGATCCTTGAGGTTAAAATCCTCTTTTAAAAGGGTGACCGCCATAGTTTGTCTGAGATATATGGCTAAAACAATATCCATTCATCTATTCATCATTAATGTCCGATCGGTTTGCTTTGTAACCCAGACAATACTACCTCCTCAATATCTGAAGGGTTCTGCTGCAGAGCGGTGTATTGTCATGGCAACTGTGTAGAATAGCCCAGTCAAAGTAAACATGGTATATTAGGGGTCTCATGGTGTGTGTGTGTGCGTCTCAGGTTCTTCCTCCAGAGGTTCAACCCCGGGGCCCGTGTCCTGACTGAAAAAGAGACCAAGGCCTTCATGTCTGCTGCTGATGACGACAGCGACGGCATGATTGGAGCAGATGGTGTGTATCTTACACTAGTTTGGTGATGATGATGATGATGAAGAAGATAATAACGATTATCATGATGATAATCACAATGATGTTGTTGTTGTTGTCGTCGTTGATGATGACGGCGATGAAGAGGTGGATGAGAGTGTTGTTTGATTATGTCGATGGCAATTTGAAGGAATGATCTCATTCGATACCAAATCAGTTGAGATTGTACAGGTCTGAATCTGGTTGTGAATCTGGCAACGATTGCAATATGATAGTAAGCAGGTTACAGAATGGTAATTGCCAATGGGTAATATAAATAGTTTTTACAGTTCTACATTGAACCTCCTCTGTCAATTGCACTCTCAATTACAGTATACAGTGTAGTATCTTGGTAAAATTTTCTCAAATGTGTCTCCTTGCAATGATTCCTTGAGTTGGTTGAGAAGTCACTATGTCCCAAATTCATTCATTGAGTTAGTTGAGATGTCACTATGTCCCAAATTCATTAATTGAGTTGGTTGAGATGTCACTATGTCCCAGATTCATTAATTGAGTTGGTTGAGATGTCACTATGTCCCAGATTCATTAATTGAGTTGGTTGAGATGTCACTATGTCCCAAATAACATATTTTCTTCATGAATAGCTAATTATTTATCTTCCTGTCTTAACTTTCTCCCCACAGAGTTCCAGGCCATGGTCCTATCCTGAATACCCGGATAACACCCTCCATACCTCTTTCTCCTCGCCCCACTCCAGCGCTAGGATTTAACACTTTAGTTTTCCATCTGTCCATGTATTTAGAAACATTGATTATTTTTTGCAAGCCTCTGGTTCAGACTATCTACAACTCTCACCCGATTTTTATTTTTGCTTTTTGCATACGTTTAGACAGGTCATTATATTATCCCCCAAAATGTATCACTTACTAAATTACTGAGAAAATAAAAGAATAAAATACATTCTAAAATCTCCTCCTTGGTTATTGACTTTTTACTCAAATATGAATTGTCCTGAAATAATGCCACACAATGTTGCTATACAATGTCAAAACACTATTGGATAGTGTGCACAGTATTGTACAGTACAGTGTCCATATTAGGACAGTCTCAGCAGGTGTTGTTTCAGTCTCAGTGTCTCTTGTTTTGTACAGATGTAATAAAATGCCTTGAGACTGTGAACTTAAATAAAATATCATAATTATTAATAATTGTATTTAAGATCACAGTCTCAAAGCATTTCATTACATCTATACAAAACATAATTCCTGCCTAAATGACTCTCTTGAAAGATCAGATTGAATTGGGTCTCAGTGAGAAAGTGTAACAATAGCCAATGACAGTATAATCAGTGGTGGAATTGTGGTAGCCTGGTCCCAGATCTGTTTGTGTTGTAGCCTACTCCATTTATGTCATTGTCAAGCCAAACGGTTTGGCATCACAGCAGGTGACAGGGAGTTGGTATGACAGCACAAACAGACTGGCGCTAGAATTGGGGGGAATTGATAGGAAGGGTGTTCCCAAGTGAAAACCTCAGTGGGAACATTTTGACATTTAAATTCCCATACTGATTTGAATCTTGCACACAGCAAATCATTCCTCTTGGTAAGCAATCTGAGTAGCGTCCTTACCTGTCTAAAACATCTCATTTAGGCTTCACTTCACCTTATCTAATTCAGCAACTATCAGCAGTGGGTTGATTGACAGACAAGGTGGTATCGGATGTGAGGAGAAGTGGGACAGTGTGTGTGATTAGGAGGGAAACCTGAGGAGGTGACCTTGATAGACACCAGAGTGTCACCATGGCGGGATCGTGTGACACCTTTGTAATAAAGCTGTCTGAACCTTGGTGCTTCTCTGGCCAGAGAAGCACACAGGACCGAATCCTTGAGACATGTGCACAGGATTCACATCAATCTCCCCCTGACCTCAATACATGATTGGTGTTGATTGTTAGGATTTGGCCCACAATTGTATTGACAAGGTGTGAGACAGTTCATTTGTATGTTATTGTGTATCATTTGCTTGACAGATACAGTAGGCGTGAGACGCTCTTTGATTAGGTTTGCACCTACAAGCAGTGTTGACACTCAAAGATAAATTATTACTTGTGAGAGCATGTCACTGCTCTGTGCACCTGCATGCATTTAACTTAATCTCTGCATTTAAGATGCTCATTGGATTAGAACTAGTAACCACCAAGAAACAACACCCTGTATTACAGTAAAGCAGACACCCAAAATATTAGAGCCTCGCCATTAAATGGCATGTTTTTGCTCAGAAACCTAAACATTGAGGCAAGAACCTAGCCATTATAGAGAGCAGCCGTTGGCAGAACATAGTTCACACCCTTGTATTGAGACAACCAGCGTACCAGACCATTAGAGACCCAGCGCCAGACACACTCTGCTATACTATATGTAGGCTACAATAGACACTGGCGTGGGCACCATGCTTCATCAGACTTAATTCCTGCTGGCAATTTGCCTTGGCATTTCAACCACGCCCCCATTACCTGCTGGGGACCTGCTTTATATGGGGAGTATCTGTTAGACCCTGTGACTGTGCATATAACAAATTCACAGACACAAAACATCAAGAAGACATGGTTAATGCTTTTTCAGTCCTGTAATTTGCCTGATATATACAAAAGCATGTGGTAATAATGGCTAATTTCTGGTTCTTATCTCAAATACAGTAATATTAAAACAACTGATAATGTTCTGGTACACTGTAGAATGGCATGAAAAAATATATAAAAATAATAATAATTTGTACAGTAAAAGAATAATGCACCATCAGGAAAAGAGAGGACTAACACACCATGTTAAAACACACACGTGTTCTCTGCCCATCCCATTCCTGACCTGTTCCCAACAGTCTGTCTCTGCCCATCTCATTCCTGACCTGTTCCCAACAGTCTGTCTCTGTGTTCTCTGCCCATCCCATTCCTGACCTGTTCCCAACAGTCTGTCTCTGTGTTCTCTGCCCATCCCATTCCCGACCTGTTCCCAACAGTCTGTCTCTGCCCATCCCATTCCTGACCTGTTCCCAACAGTCTGTCTCTGCCCATCCCATTCCTGACCTGTTCCCAACAGTCTGTCTCTGTGTTCTCTGCCCATCCCATTCCTGACCTGTTCCCAACAGTCTGTCTCTGTGTTCTCTGCCCATCCCATTCCTGACCTGTTCCCAACAGTCTGTTTAGATGGGCTTCTAAGGACACAGGAGCACCATAACACCACACCCTACATCACACCTGGCTACTCATTCGCCAGCTGCTGCCCTCCCAAACAGTATTTAATCTCTAATGAAATTACCGGCATGCCACTACACTGTACTGTAATTAGAGTGCAGCAATGGGACCAAGCCAGATATTTGTAGTTGTACACTAGATTTGACCAGGAAGTCACTACTACAACTACAGTATATAAACCGGATACATGTACATCACTAGCAGCAGGACAGTGGGCTAGGCTCTTTAGTTCAAAGGATCACACTACCTTATCAGAGGGAATCTCCCCGGTATCTGCTCTCCAGGACCACAGGAGAGAGAGACACACACAGAGAAGAAAATAATGGTGTGTGTGTGTGCATACATGCGTGCAATGTGAAAGAAAGAGAGAAAGACAGAGACACACAGCAATAGAGTCATCTTCTGTGACTTGCCTTTCAATTTGTGACCCTATAGAGTAAGTGCTCGGGGAAGTGCGGGTCAGGGGGAGGGGGACAAGGTTGGGGAAGCCAGTGGGTAACACAAGCTGCCGGGCGGGGAACACAACAAAACCAAGCGATGACCCCTGTGGGGTCAGCAGCCGTGACTGATAAACAGAAAGGAAATGGAACACAACAGGGTCATGGTCATTAAGCACCAAACAGACTGAACCTGTCCAATGGGAAATGCTTAGTTTAGTTTTCCGTTGCAAAAATGTTTTTCATTGCACGCCCCAATGAACATGACCCAGGACTGCTCTGCCTGCTGCATGGGGACAGGGGAACAAGATCAAGCAGATTATCATGGCTCAAGGGCAGCGGGAGAGAGAGAGGCAACTGTGATGATGAGATAATGCTCAGGGCTACGTAGACACAGACAGTGCAAATGTGGGGAAAATGTCAGTCAGCAAACAAGATCCTTTGCTGATACAAAGGTGGATCGATGTGGCTCATTGAATAATATTTGTTTGACTTTACATTCAAAAGCATGACATGAAATATATTTTCCTACAATATATTGCGGAGACAAATGACAAAAAAAGGGTAATCCACACATGTATTTGCAGCATGTCCTACACATCTTCAATTGTATTAACGCAGCAATTCGATTATTGTTTGTCTCAGATAATGTAATTTTGGCTAAATCTAGGCTATTCATTCTTAAATATCTTCAATAAAAGTACATAGCCCTCTGTCCTACACTACAGAAGACTATAGACTCTCACCCTGGCCGAGGCCAACAATGTTGTTGTTACTCTCTGTAAAACACTGAGCTACGATTCATTCATGTTTTTATTCCAGGTACAAATTTTGGTCAGTAATCTGTGATTATAACAGGCTAAAGAGGGGTTGTGTGTGTGTGTGTGCACACACTGTAAGGACAGATTTAAAGGGATACTTTGGGATTTTGGCAATGAGGCCCTTTATCTACTTCCCCAGAGTCAGATGAACTCGTGGATACCATTTGTATGTCTCTGTGTCCAGTATGAAGGATGTTAGAGGTAGTTTCGCGAGCCAATGCTAACTAGTGTCAGTGCAATGACTGGAAGTCTATGAGTATCTGCTAGCAACTTCCTTCAAACTGCACGCAGAGACATAAAAATTAATAGTTAATCTGACTCTGTGGAAGTAGACAAAGGGCCTCATTGCCAAAATCCTGAAGTATCCCTTTAAGTATTCAATCCAACTCCCCAAAAGGCCAATAGGTATAAGTCACTTATAGCATCACTGAGGGGATTTCTGTGAAGATCTAAGCAATATGGTTAACAAAGGGGTATGAAGCCTTGAGTTTGATGTGTCTTTATAGGCTGTGAAACATGCTATCATTTTGAAAACGGCCAGTTTGAATTGTGTTTGCTGCACATGCCGCTTTCACAGCTGAAAAGTTGAATTGGTTCAAGTTATTGATTTGAAGTTACTGATTTCTATGTGTTAAAGGTGAACTTTAACGTAAATTGATAATTTGATATTGTGATGAGATCTATATTATTGTAGGGTTAGAGGCACAATATCAAATTATATAATTTCTACCTGAAAGTTCTGAATCTGAAAACTCAACACAACCAAATAGCATTTTTGTCTGTCCTGACACCTACGAATTATGTGACTGATTCCCTGTCTAGGGTTAGTAGGTTAAAACTCGAGCCTGCCCTCCAGGGAGATTTGACTGGGTCCTCCAATGATGCTGGGAAATGTAGGTTAATGTTCACCAAAAGACAGTGGCCATGTTCGAGAGCATCAAATCCATGATGCATTGTGGGTAAATGGTGACTGACTGATCTACAAATAATAATGAGCAGTTATTTATGATGCAAGGGTAGTTGTGGATCAGTCAGTCGGCAGTCAACTGCACTGTCGGACGCAATGTCGAACAAGCCCCCTGTCTAGGGTTAGTAGGTTGAAACTCGAGCATGCCCTCCAGGGAGATGTGACTGGCTCCTCCAATGATGCTGGGAAATGTAGGTTAATGTTGTTGCCCAAAAGACATTTAGAAGATGAGATAAGTGGGTCTACTGGGAGGACACACATAGTCCCGGGGACTTGACACCATGCAGTAGGCCTGGACCTAGGACTGAAGAGGCTTGGTCCGTCTCTGACGCAGCCTATACAGTCCTTGCTTGCCTCACAGGCAACGGTTCAATAATTGATGCCTTCGCTTCATTGTCACCAAAATTTCATACCAAGAAAAGAGTGTCAGGCTCACCTTACTGATTAAGTCTGTCTGAAACTTTAATGTGCACCCCATCCTCTGCCGATTATCATGG